GCTTTTTGTAGTTAGTGAAGTTGATTACAACAAGAGTGTAAATCTATTACACAAAGCACTACTCTGTCTCCTCTCTGGATGATTGTTTTTCCGGATATGCTTGTATGTTTGTACACTTTCATTGATTTTGATATTGATTGATCTAAGATTAGTGATCTGTGACAATAATAACCATTTAAACAGTGCAACGGAACAAGTTAAACAATTTCTCATCTACTGGGCTAAAGTTGGAACATGGTTCATAAAATCAATAGTGATGGTGCAGGATAAGGCATGGTTGTATCCTATCAATTTCTTTTTAATTGATTGCTTGGTTTTTGTGGTTTACCAAACAAAAATGAGGAGAGATTAATGGCTTAGCTTTACATAATCTGATTGGATTACAGACAACTAGACTTGAAAACTTAGAAGAAGAAATTAAACAATTAAAAAATTAATACACACCACTAGGGGGAAAGGCCTATAGATGACAAATGGAAGGCTTAACCCCAGGGCTTCATTCTTCAATATTTCTTTACAGAGTATATTTTCTACTGTAGTACTTGGTAGCACAAATGTGGGAAATATGGGGGAGTTGCAGCATCCATGGGGTATACTTGCGAGGACTTTGTAGCACAAGTGTGGGAAATAACCAGGGTGAAATTGGTAGTTAAAATCCTTGGTCTATCCTGATTTTCCGCACGATGTTTTTCAATAAAATAGGTAGCGCAAATGTCTCATGTCTTGAAGTGGCTGCGGCATGCCCATGTTGGGTTGGTATGCAAGTGAGCTCCCCGGGGGTTAACCCGAAATCACATTCGCATTACAAACATTAGTTCATATACAAAAAGTCAAAATATACATTGAAAACAATATGAATTAAACGATGTACTTTTAACATTCATTGTACACACAAAGCAGTGGTGGATCCAGTAATTTGAAATAGAAGAACCCATAGAGGATAATTTACCAATGGAGGATGCAATGCTGTAGTTGTCTGAAAATGACATTCTAAGACTTAAATTTCCTGTAATTTATTTTCCTTATTTTGTTTTGAATTAAAAGAAATTTAAGAGCGAGGCCTAGCGAGGCCTACTGGGCCTGACTATAATCCGCTTTTGCAGAGAGCGAGTGTACAAGTCTTAATAATCTTATTAATTTTTTTAGAGTACTGATTTATTAATACATTTATCTATGATTCCTTCAGAATTTAATAATTCATCTTTTTTTTTTGTATTGCTCTTATACTTTGCGTAGATTACGGGGTGTGTTCACTGAAGCACATCCAATTAAATTTAGTGATTGCAGACTTGAAGCAGACACCACATGCTGTCTGTAGTAGACAATTTATCTCCATGTTGGCACTCGTTCTTTGATTTCAATTTCAGCTTGGCCAGCTCGCAGAACATGATATGCTAAGATTATCCAACATAGCACCTTCTTTACAAATCAATCGCACTCTAGAGGAGTACTGCACACCTACCATGTCCAATCAGATTCCGTTGAAGACAAAAATACTTCTTTTAATAATTTCAAAACAGCACTTTTCTCAATACAAAAAATTAAAAAAATCTCTGCAAGAACATTACTTCTGCTTTGATGTTATTGCAATTAATAAGTTTTTAACTTGTTGTGAAACACCAAGGATAACCCAGGTGAGTGGAGTAGGCAAGCGGTAAGGTAGGGGTGCTGGTTTGTGACGCTCTTCCCCCAGAGTTTGGGTGGTAGACCAAGTAGATTAAGTAATGAGACCCTATTTAAACAAAACAGGCCATCACAAACATGTGCATTGACAAAAAAAACCATTAATAAATTATTGCAAAATAGATTTTATATTATTAGCATTAAAATATTTTATGCTTGGAGGAGAGTTCTTTGTATTGTAGCTGATTTCTTTAAATGAAGGTCTGTATTGTTGAAAACATGATTCATCCCTATTTGAAATCCTAAAAAAAAACCTCTCTAAGGCCCTATAAAAAATATTATTAGTTTATCACCCTATCTAGGCTGGAAAAATTATGAGAGAGGAAGGCTTTTTTTTTTATTCTCTATTTTGCTGAAGCCAAATATCACTCTTGGGTTGTTAGCTGGGTGCATTGGTATAAATTAAAACATGATTGAGATAATACAAACAATTTACTAACTATTTAATTTAATAAATAAAAATAAAAATTTTAAAAAAATAATAATTTTTCAAAAATATATATATTTTTCAATAGAATAGAAGACATGCACACAAGGTGGGTGATACATTGTACAGATACTTGCTAAGATACAAGATCACTCTATTATCAAAAACATGAAATTTGTTTTCATCAGCACTGCAAACTTCATAAACAGGATACAAGATATTAGGATGAAAAGTTAAAATACATTACTGTAAAAGAAACTAAATAGAACAATAAATATCACTCCAACTTCAAAACATTTTAAAGTTATTTCTGTAAATTGCAGTTATAAATAGAAATTAAATAAGTGATTAGATTGCAAGTAAGTTGTCAAATTCTACCAGGCTTGTGTAATAGTTATGGACTAATAATATAGTTTTTATAACATTAAGGATGTATCATGTATAAAATTAATGCATGATTGATTACTTTACAATGGATCGAATTAGTCACCAAAATAAAGCTGCTGTAGTGGGTATAACATCAAAACAAACCTCTAGGTAGCAGTTTTTCACGCAATAATAAGCCTCCGCTCGAATATATTTCAACAGTTTGTAAACTCCCCAATTTTTTTATTTGTACATAATTATCATAAACTAACTTATCGAAAAGCCATAGATTAGAGAGTCATACAAACAACGTTCTTCTTACTCATTGGTCATCGCATTAAAAAAAAAACATCTTATTCTACAATTCAGCAATTTAAGTTTTTCCAATAGTTAATATTTTGAATATTTCGTACAGAAATTGCAACAGAAGACTTGGTGACAGTATTTAAGCTGAATGTGTACCGCTAAATCAACAACAATCACTTAGTTAGTGCTGGATGTGTTGAGTCGCCCAAGCGATAGGTCTAGGCCCCTAGGAGGCCTCTTAAAAACTTTTCGTATTTTTAGCCTGAATGGAAGTTTAAATCAAATCAACCTTATCTCATGAATCATTCAAAATGTATACGTTGAACAAAAAGTATCTTCTACGCTAACTAGATTACTTTTTTTAGATGATTTAATATACCCCACCTTCGACTCTGCTCAATGCATTAGCATAGCTCTTCGGACATGTTTACAACTTTAATACCCAATCGGCAAAATTGTGATGACGTTATCTTTGTTGGCTAATGCGGTCTATTCAGTATTAAGTTCTCTCTATTGCCATTTGCTTTTACAACATGGTCATTAAACCTCAAGACACATTCATGTAGCAAAAAATCAAAGAATAACAAGTAATAAATTATTGAAAAGAAAGAAAAAAACTGAATCAGCCAAATCCAGAGATTCTCATTCAGCATCCTGATAGCTGCAGGATAAACACTTAATGAAAGTCTATCAATTATGTGCACAACTCAATCATTGTAAATCTACTATTAATGTCTTGTGTATCTTTAGGCATATTTGCCTCATTCCTTGCATATTCATATATTATTAATTAAAACTCAAGTATATTTAAATGTAATGTCTGTATCTGTTATTTTATATGTTTGCCTTAAAATTAATTATATGTATTATTTATTTTTATCTATATAATTTATTTGTTTAAAAGTCATGTATGTCGTTTTTTTGAATCAAAAAAAAAAAAATGGACTGCAAGTTTAAAAGCTTACACTGTAGAAATACAGTACTCATGCCAAAAATATAGGTAAACAAAATACCTGAACAGTGTATCATTTGTCAAAATCAGGCCCTTTGCTCTTGTGGAGCATTTGAAGGTATGAAACATTCTTTTCCTGGCATATAGATACCAAATTTCTGACCTTGGCCCTTACTAGATTGGATTGAGGTATATACTCTTTTTGTGCAATATTACAAAGAAATACATGACTTTTAAACAACAATAAATTATATAAATAAAAACAAATAATAAATACAATTAATTTTAAGACATAAATGTATCATAAATTAGCAGATGCAGTCATACATTAATCTTAATATGCAAGAATGAGACAATGTACCTGCTATATGGGGCCATGGCATTTTTTTAGTGAGTTAAAAATGAACCCCTGTTTGGAAAAGGATGAGATTTAGGAATGTATAGATGACTGTACTGAGTTTCTGTTTTATAATTTTTGTGTTTTTATTCTTTTTTTTTTAAATTTACAGAGTCTGAATGCAATAGAAGATATTCTACCATGCTCCGCAGCTAATAACATTGATTCTTGTTTGACGTCAGAGACAAACTTCTGTGAAAGTTTCAAGTTGTTGCCATGGCAATGGCTGATCCTGCTGATCCGAGGTAAATAGCCTTTACCATAATGTGTTGAGAAAGTTGTGTTTTCAAGCTGTTCAATTTGTCTCTACTCCTCTCCTGCTTCTCTAGCTGCTCCATCCTATCATCTGATCTGAGGTAAACACACTATTTGGCTTTTTCGTCTATATTTTTTTTACACTTGACGTCAGTTAGCCTGGCTTGGTGCTTTCAGCACTATAAGGTACCTCATTGTTCCTTTATTATTTTGCTGGGATGGAGTAGTTTGCCTACCATGATTTGTACACCTGGATTACATGTTATAAAAAATCTAAAGCATTTAAAGAATACATTCACAGTGTTAAGCTAAGGTTACAAATTATTTAATTATTATAGAGAATTGTGTTTCTATATTTATATCAAGTTTTTATATTTTTGTGAGCTTTGTAATTTCTCCGTTTTTATTGGAGACAATAAATTTTATCTTATATCTTATATCTTCAGCATCGTTATGAACAACAAAAATGAAAGTCAGCGTAGGCATATTAGATTTAAATAAGCATTGAAGATTGATGAAACAAACATCAACCACTTGTGCTTTTCTAAACAGTCTTTATGAAGATTATATAAAGATTGAAATTATTTCCATTCCCTGACAAAAACTCGACAGGTGCTTAGAGGTCACAGACACAAGCTGTTTTTAAAGGGATGATAATGCCCAAACTAATGTAAGCAATCTAAACACCCACAGAATATAGTAAATAAACAGATTCATTTCTGAGTCACGTTCAGTAGTGCAATCAGGTGATGTAGCTTATACCTGGGATTACTGCTCACCTACCCTTAATTGCCATCTTTCAGTTCTGTGTTTTGGCAGGGTTAACATCATCCAGTAATGATCCGCTAGTGTTAGCGGATCACCAATTATTGAAAAGGAAAAAATACTGAATCAGCCAAATCCAGAGATTCTCATTCAGCATCCTGATAGCTGCAGGATAAACACTTAATGAAAGTCTATCAATTATGTGCACAATTCAATCATTGTAAATCTACTATTAATGTCTTGTGTATCTTTAGGCATATTTGCCTCATTCCTTGCATATTCATATATTATTATTTAAAACTCAAGTATATTTAAATGTAATGTCTGTATCTGTTATTTTATATGTTTGCCTTAAAATTAATTATATGTATTATTTATTTTTATCTATATAATTTATTTGTTTAAAAGTCATGTATGTTGTTTTTTTGAATCAAAAAAAAAATGGACTGCAAGTTTAAAAGCTTACACTGTAGAAATACAGTACTCATGCCAAAAATATTTATAATATAAACAAAATACCTGAATAGTGTATCATTTGTCAAAATCAGGCCCTTTGCTCTTGTGGAACATTTGTAGGTATGAAACATTCTTTTCCTGGCATATAGATACCAAATTTCTGACCTTGGCCCTTACTAGATTGGATTGAGGTATGTACTCTTTTTGTGCAATATTACAAAGAAATACATGATTTTTAAACAACAATAAATTATATAAATAAAAACAAATAATAAATACAATTAATTTTAAGACATAAATGTATCATAAATTAGCAGATACAGTCATACATTAATCTTAATATGCAAGAATGAGACAATGTACCTGCTATATGGGGCCATGGCATTTTTTAGTGAGTTAAAAATGAACCCTAGTTTGGAAAAAGATGAGATTTAGGAATGTATAGATGACTGAATGAGTTTCTGTTTTATAATTTTTGTGTTTTTATTCTTTTTTTTTGGAATTTACAGAGTCTGAATGCAATAGAAGATATTCTACCATGCTCCGCAGCTAATAACATTGATTCTTGTTTGACGTCAGGGACAAACTTCTGTGAAAGTTTCAAGTTGTTGCCATGGCAATGGCTGATCCTACTGATCCGAGGTAAATAGCCTTTACCATAATGTGTTGAGAAAGTTGTGTTTTCAAGCTGTTCAATTTGTCTCTACTCCTCTCCTGCTTCTCTAGCTGCTCCATCCTATCATCTGATCCGAGGTAAACGCACTATTTGGCTTTTTCGTCTATATTTTTTTTGCACTTGACGTCAGTTAGCCTGGCTTGGTGCTTTCAGCACTGTAAGGTACCTCATTGTTCCTTTATTATTTTGCTGGGATGGAGTAGTTTTGCCTACCAAGATTTTTACACCTGGATTACATGTTGTAAAAAATCTACCTGAAACTTCTGTATCCTATGTGGCTTCCTGTAATGTTCAGCATTTAAAGAATACATTCACAGTGTTAAGCTAAGGTTACAAATTATTTAATTATTCTAGAGAATTGTGTTTCTAAATTTATATCAAGTTTTTATATTTTTGTGAGCTTTGTAATTTCTCCGTTTTTATTGGAGACAATAAATTTTATCTTATATCATATATCTTCAGCACCGTTATGAACAACAAAAGTAAAAGTCAGCGTAGGCATATATTAGATTTAAATAAGCATTGAAGATTGATGAAACAAACATCAACCACTAGTGCTTTTCTAAACAGTCTTTATGAAGATTATATAAAGATTGAAATTATTTCCATTCCCTGACAAAAACTCGACAGGTGCTTAGAGGTCACAGACACAAGCTGTTTTTAAAGGGATGATAATGCCCAAACTAATGTAAGCAATCTAAACACCCACAGAATATAGTAAATAAACAGATTCATTTCTGAGTCACGTTCAGTAGTGCAATCAGGTGATGTAGTTTATACCTGGGATTACTGCTCACCTACCCTTAATTGCCATCTTTCAGTTCTGTGTTTTGGCAGGGTTAACATCATCCAGTAATGATTTGGGTTTTCAAGTTGAAAAAAGTAATTCAAACTCGCTTATGCTGAGGTCAAGAGTTCAAGGTTAATCATGAAAATTCCAGCTTTTTTACAAAATATTATTTATAATACAGTAAGTTTTTTAAAAATGAAAATTTCAATTTAGGTTTTACTATTTCATCTTGCTAAATGTAATGATGAATATATAATATCAACAATTATATAGTTATTCTTCTAAAACAGCAATTAGGATAGACCCAGCACCCTCTTGGACATGGATGTTGTGGTCTCCAACACTATACTACATCCAGACTCGTTTTGTGTTTTCCTGGGTATAGTGCCGAGAAAACACAACATAAGCATATATTTATATGCTAGTAAAAAATATTTAATTTAAGACATTTAAGGCTGTTATTGCCAATTGCTGTTGGATGTAGTTTTCGAAATAAATAAATAATTAAATATTAAGAGAAAGTTGTATGTTGTACCATTAGGCCTAAAAGTTAAAATTTTATTATATTATTTAATGCTGGTCTATCTGTACTGTATGTTTGATTAATGGAGGATGTTTTTATGTATAAATAATTATTTTCCCTTGCGGTCCTGGCCTTTATTGGGGCGGGGAGGGGGAAGTAAGGGCCCATTTTGAGCAGAGTGACATGGTGTGAGAAATTTTACTGTAGGTATTTTGTTTAAGAATTATTTGTCCACAATTGATTAAAATTTTCTATGACTATTCCTCACATAACGGCTGGTCTTCTTATAATCCTACTTGGCTGTTCCCTCACCCTCTCCCTGCCTCTCAATGCTACTGGTTGAATTTATTTATATACAGTAGGTCTATTTACAAATTTTACGACTATGGTGGGGTCTGGGAGTAGGGATGCCAAGAATTGGGGCTCTGGAGTGAGGAGCAGGCCAAGGCACCCATCAGGGTCCATGGCAAGAGCCCATGGTGGGGGTTTGGGGGAAAAGGCCCCAAGGTTCAGCGTTGTATGTAGTGGGATTCATTATTCAAATGATTACAGCATTCCATATTAACATTGTGGATTATTAACATTTCTTTCCATTTTGTCCAAGGGTCTTCACCTGACCCCATCTCTCGGCTGTAGTGTCCAGGAGCAGTCATAGTGGAGGTACTACAAGAAAACATCTGTCATCAGCTTTTTAGCCTAAAACATATTCGATTGAGTACTTGAATTGATTTCTCCTTGGGTCCAGATAAATTTATTGAATGATATTTGATCGATTTTCAAGATGAAAATGTGCTACAGTAGAATGGAAGCATTTACTTCAACACTATTTACGTAATTGAAATATTCATCTTTAGATAGGAAATAATACGAAGAGGTTCTTTAAGTTTCTGGAAGTATCCCCTTCACAGTCCCTCAGCAGACAACATAAAAATATTGGTACAAGTCATTGATATTCGATAAGTAATCTTGTGGTGAATAATTCTGAGGGGTTTGATTGGTCAGATTGTGACTTCAGCAGACAGTAAAATGACTAGGAAAATTTGCATATTCAACATTAATCATAAGAGACAGACTAAAATATGTAATAGTTTCCAAGACAGTTTTATTGCCTGTATAATTTAAGTGTCATTCCCATTTCTTCATACCTGCATTTATCCTTTATGGCTATTGAAAATATAAACATGCTGAGCTTTTCATCAAGGTGATTGGCTGATATGCATTGCGTGTTATGGAACTGTACTGAATTGTGTGATTATATCACATGGAAGAAGTGCATTAGGTGTTCATGATTCAGTACATAGCTTTACTGACAACGATCAATTGATGTTGCACTCATAAATCAAAGCATTTATTCGAACCTACTGACAAGTTCTTCTGCATTTGTTATTTGATTTATGTTACATGGTTCAGGCGACCTGTTCAAGTGGTATTGCATTGCCCTATATACGATAACCTAAACTAGAATGAATAGCCGGAGATAACAAACATGCTTTTCCATTAAGTCCTCTTTTTCTGTTACATTAACTTTAAACTAATTCAAACCTACTTGTTTGATAAACCTACTTTTTTTAATATACTGATCACATGTTTTCATATTTTGCTTTTGGTATTAATATTATACATTTTTATTATTATAGGTCCTGCCTACTAATATCATTGATGATGTTTATTTTGATATTGAAACTTTAAACTGAATTTTATTCAGATTTTAGTGTACTGTATTATTGATGAGATAATTTCATTGGAATTTTTAACCATAGTAGGCTTATTAAATGTCCTGCTATTGGCATTTATGCTAATTGGATGAGATGAAATAAAAATAAATAAATAGGTTTCAGATGCCATATAGTGCCCATGTTAATTCTTATATTTTTTCCCATGTTAATTCTTATATTGTTGCCCATGTTAATTCTTATGTTACATTGAGAATTTATATATTTATAACATAAAGTAAATTTTGCTTTCAACCTTGCCTCACAAAATTCTCTACAAAATAATTGTGTCCCAAACAACCCAAAAGTATACACTAATGAATCTTTCCCTTAAAAAGACCATAATCTTTCTCCTTTTCCCCTTCTTCCTTTCATGCAAATTAATCTTGTGAGCATCATGGGAATACTTATGAAACTGAATGTTACTGCATGTCAAAGGCAGGTTGTCTGAGGCGAATGACATCTAAACTTCACTGTCAATCCATACAGAGCTTCCTGTGTTCCCACACATAAAATATGCTTCACATCAACTACAAATTTGTTGTACCTATACTTACATTACATTACTTTATGATTTTGAGATTGTTATTTAGAGCATGGAAATGTCTAGCTTTGACAGGTTCATTTAGAAATTTGAAATAGTATTGTGACTAAAGATTGTTATATCTATGTTGTTTTTTTTTTCTATTTTTAGCTCCGATAAGGAGCTCTAGGAGTAACCCCAGCAAATTGTGTGCTTTTTGCTGAGGGGTTTCAGCAAGAACTGTACATGACTGCCAATACCACTTTTATAAACATCGTATGGAAGGCACAGTAGGT